TTTTTGTAATAGTAATTTATTAGCAATTTATTATACGTTATAATAGTGACATTATTCTGTACATACAATTCTGTACAAAAAATTCTAGAATAGTAATTTATAATTATTATTGTATAATAGTAATTTAATAGCAATTTATTATAAGTAATAAATTACATGGTATAGCACTGTCCAAACAAAATTTCATTTCATTTTTTTTATTAAAACAAATTGTAGAATAGTAATTAAAATGGTTATTTTTATAATAGTAATTAATACAAATGTATTATAAATAATCAAATACAAAATACAAAAAATCATAGCTCACGAAAGACGCAAATAAATAAATATTGCAAATATGCATAATACTGTATGTATTATGTATCATATACTGGTTACTCCACTGCACACCTCGGATCACTTCCTCCTCACTCTTAACCTCAACATGGTTCCTGACACAACACATACCCCTACACATGTCACTTTTCGACGTAACCTACGCTCACTCTCACCCTCCCGGCTATCTGCTATGGTTTCATCTTCGCTTCCTCCCCCTGAACAGTTATCATCTCTTGATGTTAACAGTGCTTCTGATACTTTCTGCTCCACTCTTACATCTTGTTTAGACACTGTCTGCCCCTTGTCTTCCAGGCCAGCTCGTACCACCTCTTCTGCCCCTTGGCTATCTGATGTTCTCCGCGACCATCGTTCTAAGCTCAGGGGCAGGCTGCTGAAAGAGTATGGCACAAATCACAAAATCCTACTGACCTTAATGTGTATCAGTCACTCCTCTCTTCATTCTCTGCTAATGTCTCCACTGCTAAAATGACATACTATCACAACAAAATGAACAATTCGTTTAACTCTCGCATGCTATTTAAAACATTTTCCTCTCTCCTTTGTCCTCTTCCTCCCCCTCCTTCATCAACTCTAACAGCTGACGACTTTGCCACGTTCTTCAGTAATAAAATTAAAACCATCAGTGCACAATTTTCCACACCACAATCTGTCAAGCACATCTTACCAGCAAACATACACTAGTTTTCATCCTTCTCTCCACTCTCTGAGGCAGAAGTCTCTAAACTCATCCTTTGAAACCCACCCTTAACCCATCTCTTTTAGAGCACTACAGACCGGTTTTTCTTCTTCCTTTCATTGCAAAAAAACACTTAAACGAGCTGTGTTCAACCAAGTTTCTGCCTTTCTCAAACAGAACATCCTGCTTGACAGCAACCAGTCTGGTTTCAAAAGTGGACATTCAACTGAGACTGTCTTGCTCTCAGTTGTTGAAGCCCTAAGACTGGCAAGAGCGGATTCCAAATCTTCAATACTTATCTTGCTGGATCTGTCCAGCCGCTTTTGACACCGTTAACCACCAGATCCTCCTGTCAATCCTGTTGGCAAAGGACATCTCAGGAACCGCAAGCCAGTGGTTTGAGTCTTACCTCTCAGATAGGTTCTTCAAGGTGTCTTGGAGAGGTGAGGTGTCCAAGTCACAACATCTAACTACTGGGGTGCCTCAGGGCTCAGTTCTTAGACAACTTCTCTTCTCTGTCTACATGGCATCACTAGGTTCTGTCATTCAGAAACATGGCTTTTCATATCACTGCTATGCTGATGACACTCAACTCTACCTCTCATTCCATCCTGATGATCCAACGACGATAGCTGCTTGCATCTCAGCTTGTCTAACACATTTTTTGCTGGATGAAATCTTGCCAAGACAGAACTGCTTGTGGTTCCATTAAACCCATCGTTTTATCACAATTTCACCATCCAGTTAGGCACATCAACCAAAACTCCTTGAAAAACAGCCAGAAACCTTGGAGTTGTGATTGATGATAATCTGAATTTCTCAGACCACATTGCTAAAACTGCCCGGTCCTGCAGATTTGCTTTATACAACATTAGGAAGATCAGGCCCTTTCTTTCAGAACATGCAACACAACTCCTTGTTCAGGCTCTTGTTCTGTCAAGCTGGACTGTTGCAATGCTCTCTTGGCAGGTCTTCCAGCCACTTCTATCAAAC